TGATGATAGGATTGGATTGTCCTGCACAATTATCACAACGTCATCTGGAACATGCGCTCATTACCCAGCAAAAAATTACTCCCGTCAATACCAACCGATCATGTGTACATGCACATACAAACATATGTTGCTCGCCAAGTCGTTATGCCTCCTGAATTTTTATAATTCTGAATTGCTTCGAAGTGCTACTAATGGGGCATTTGTCGATTATATGCTTTTGCTATCGCTTTTCTGTATTTACCCTTGCACTACATAGTTCAACGCATAAGTTGGTCAACCAGACGCTTCAATCACTAAACATTTTTTCACAACATCAAGCTATGGACGCGGTACGCCCAGCGAATGGCTAGCCACTCGCTGCAGGTCTATAGATCGTTCTGCTGAGAGTGTAGCGTTGGAGAGTGGAGCACCGATGAACCGCATCGGTTCGGAAATCAGTTGGCAAGGAACTGGTTCCATTCTCGGATACTGGGCCGATTCTCATGGCTTTTCTTCGTCCTGGCACCACTGAATACTTATACCTTTATGGGCTGCCTTCTAAACGTGAACTCCGCCTAAACAGCCTACTACATACTAGCAGCGCAATCCTGTTGACATCTGCCGAACGAGATTCATTTCGCTTCTGTGACAATGTTTTCTACACGTTGCGCACAAATTACGGAATTAGCACGCGCTCGCAAATTTTCGACTCAAGTCCTTATTCGCTTGCTCTGGGGTGTATACTTTTACATTCTTCGACATCTGCGCTGTAATATAGGACTTGAATGAAAAACGTTCCAGGAAGAAAAATGTCGGTTTTTTTTGGATTCGCATTTGGATTGTACAGACATGGTTTTTCAGTACACGACTTTCTGATGCGTGTCGTAGTGACTGAACGGGGGTTGGAATGTAAGCTAACCATTGTCGTCATTAAGGGCATTCCAGACGAGAATATGTGACTCCTTTGACACTGCAAGGGAGCTACGCGCACCCTCTTCCCTCTGACTGAAATGTAATTTTCCAGGAAAAAAAAACGAGAAAAAGGCTATACAGTAAATCTATAGTGGGATAATTCTTATATCAAAACACCAGTTTAGCTCCGCACACTACCGCGTGCATGACACGGAAGGGCTCCGTAAAGCTGGCCAGCCGGCGGAGCGTTAGGTTCCGCCGCTAAACAATAACTTGCTTCGTGAAATGCGTTAGCTGGCCCTACAGAATGCCCATTTTTAACCAACCGTCTGATACGCGCGGTGGAGTGCGGAGCTAAAGTGGTGTCTGTAAACAGCCACCATGCATTGGATGTCAGGATGATTTAGCGGTCGAATAATATTGATGCCAATGATTTTGCAATAGAAATACCCATTATCGTATATCGCTAAACATCCATCATACATTCTTAGGGACTTTGGGACTGTAGCGGTCGAACGGTATTTTATGTTGATGACAACAACGCAATGAGATGATACTGAAGTGAAATGCGTTATCTAGAATATGGTTTTAAATGGTCTCTATGTTCCTACGAATATCGCAATTATCGGCCCTTATCGGCCCTTATCACTTCCTGTACCCCACCGAACATGTTCCCGTCCCACCCTGTACATCACTTCTTGGAACCAACGCCCCACTGCTGCTGGGACGCGCGCTATGAATTTCGTGAAATTTGCGTTTCAGCGCCTCTTATCAATCTTATCAGCCGTTATCACTTTCTGTACCCCACCAAATATGTTCCCGTCCCACCCTGTACATCACTTCTTGGAACCAACGCCCCACTGCTGCTGGGACGCGCGCTATGAATTTCGTGAAATTTGCGTTTCAGCGCCTCTTATCAGATCTTATCAGTCGTTATCACTTTCTGACCCCCACCAAATATGTTCCCGTCCCACCCCTATATCATATTCAAAATACAGCGCTCCATTGCTGCACGAAGCGAGCTATGAATTTCGTGACACACACATCTACAAGAGAAACTGCGAACGGCTCATTAGAGCAGATGTCATTTATTCGGAAAATCCTATTGGATAACTGCGGTAATTCTGGAGCTAATACATGCGATTAAACCCTGACTTTTGGAAGGGTGCAATTATTAGAGCAAATCAATCATCTTCGGATGAAGTTTGCTGACTCTGAATAACGCAGCATATCGGCGGCTTGTCCGCCGATATTCCGAAAAAGTGTCTGCCCTATCAACCTGATGGTAGTCTATTAGTCTACCATGGTTATTACGGGTAACGGAGAATAAGGGTTCGACTCCGCGAGAGGTGAGCCTATAGAACCGGCACACATCCAAGGAACGGCAGCAGGCGCGAAACTTATCCAATCTTGAAGAGATGAGATAGTGACTAAAAATAAAAAGACCATTCCTATGGAACGGTCATTTCAATGAGTTGATCATAAACCTTTTTTCGAGGATCAAGTGGAGGGCAAGTCTGGTGCCAGCAGCCGCGGTAATTCCAGCTCCACTAGTGTAAATCGTCATTGCTGCGGTTAAAAAGCTCGTAGTTGGATCTGAGTTACATGCAGTGGTTCGCCTTTGGCGTTAATCGCTGTTGTAACTATTTGCTGGTTTTCTATTGAGGTTTCGGCTTCTTTAGTGGCTAGCGAGTTTACTTTGAATAAATTAGAGTGCTCAGAACAAGCGTTTGCTTGAATGGTCGATCATGGAATAATAAAAGAGGACTTCGGTTCTATTTATTGGTTCAGGAACTGAAATAATGGTTAAGAGGGACAATTCGGGGGCATTCGTATCCCTGCGCGAGAGGTGAAATTCGTGGACCGCAGGGGGACGCCCTAAAGCGAAAGCATTTGCCAAGAATGTCTTCATTAATCAAGAACGAAAGTCAGAGGTTCGAAGGCGATTAGATACCGCCCTAGTTCTGACCGTAAACTATGCCATCTAGCGATCCGATGGGGTATTGTTGCCTTGTCGAGGAGCTTCCCGGAAACGAAAGTCTTTCGGTTCCTGGGGTAGTATGGTTGCAAAGCTGAAACTTAAAGAAATTGACGGAATGGCACCACCAGGAGTGGAGCCTGCGGCTTAATTTGACTCAACACGGGAAAACTCACCCGGCCCGGACACCGTAAGGATTGACAGATTGAAAGCTCTTTCTCGATTTGGTGGTTGGTGGTGCATGGCCGTTCTTAGTTGGTGGAGCGATTTGTCTGGTTTATTCCGATAACGAGCGAGACTCTAGCCTGCTAAATAGTGGCTGGATTTTTATGTCCAGTCTACTTCTTAGAGGGATAAGCGGTGTTTAGCCGCACGAGATTGAGCGATAACAGGTCTGTGATGCCCTTAGATGTCCGGGGCTGCACGCGCGCTACAATGGAAGAATCAGCTGGCCTATCCATTGCCGAAAGGCATTGGTAAACCGTTGAAACTCTTCCGTGACCGGGATAGGGAATTGTAATTATTTCCCTTGAACGAGGAATTCCTAGTAAGTGTGAGTCATCAGCTCACGCTGATTACGTCCCTGCCATTTGTACACACCGCCCGTCGCTGTCCGGGACTGAGCTGTCTCGAGAGGACTGCGGACTGCTGTATCGAGGCCTTCGGGTCGCGGTATGGCGGGAAACAGTTCAATCGCAATGGCTTGAACCGGGTAAAAGTCGTAACAAGGTATCTGTAGGTGAACCTGCAGATGGATCATCGTCGAAACCAAAACACATGGTTCCTTTGATTATGAGAAACCAACATGCAAGATTTTTCACGACTTTGTCGTGAAACGTTGGGAGTATCACCCCCGTTAAAGCTCTATATTTGAGGTGTCTATGTATGACATGAGTCGTTCATGAGTGGCGACTGTGATTGTTCATGCAAAGTTCCCATTCCAATGGTTGGTTATGGTTGAGCTTGAGACTTAATGAGTATTGCTATAATACCGCCTCATTGCATTTATAATGGTGGTTATGTACATACGTGTAGTATGTACGGTACCTGGTTGTCAGGAAACCTTAATGATCTCGCCTAGACGCCATTATAAAACACAACTTTTTATGTTTGATCATTTATAGTGGTGGTTATGTACATACGTGTAGTATGTGCGGTACCTGGATGTCAGGAAACCTTAATGATCTCGCCTAGACGCCACTATAAAATTTATAATGGTGGTTATGTACATACGTGTAGTATGTACGGTACCTGGTTGTCAGGAAACCTTAATGATCTCGCCTAGACGCCATTATAAAACACAACTTTTTATGTTTAATCATTTATAGTGGTGGTTATGTACATACGTGTAGTATGTACGGTACCTGGATGTCAGGAAACCTTAATGATCTCGCCTAGACGCCACTATAAAATTTATAATGGTGGTTATGTACATACGTGTAGTATGTACGGTACCTGGCTGTCAGGAAACCTTAATGATCTCGCCTAGACGCCATTATAAAACACAACTTTTTATGTTTAAAGTTTGCAGAAATGTGTACACAGAAATGTGTCACAATTGACTAGCTTCAGCGATGGATCGGTCGATTCGCGTATCGATGAAAAACGCAGCTAGCTGCGTTATTTACCACGAATTGCAGACGCTTAGAGTGGTAAAATTTTGAACGCATAGCGCCGTTGGGTTTTCCCTTCGGCACGTCTGGTTCAGGGTTGTTAATGAAACTACTACAGTGTGGCTAGTTCATAACACTGTTTGTCGAATGGTATTTATTACTTTATTGTGATAATTCCCATTCCAGTTCAAGAATATGAAATGCAACATGACGTTAACATTGTTAACGTTACTGAATGATACTGAATATATTACCACTATTTGAATGTACTCAATGAATATGAGATTGATTCAAATAGGGACATGTATGGTATTGTATATTCAATGTATCATTTATATATTGCAACCTGAACTCAGGCGTGATTACCCGCTGAACTTAAGCATATCATTTAGCGGAGGAAAAGAAACTAACAAGGATTCCCTTAGTAACGGCGAGTGAACGGGGAGAAGCCCAGCGCTGAATCTTACAGTGTTACACTGTTAAGAAATGTAGCGTATAGATATAATTTTCAGTTTGTGCTACATGTCCAAAGTCCCTTCTGAGTAGGGGCCACAATCCTGAGAGGGTGCGAGACCTGTGCGGACAGTGGAGCAAGCTGTACGATTATATCTTAGAGTCGGGTTGCTTGAAAGTGCAGCCTAAAGTGGGTGATAAACTTCATCTAAGGCTAAATATAGACGCGAATTCGATAGCAAACAAGTACTGTGAAGGAAAGTTGCAAAGAACTTTGAAGAGAGAGTTCAAGAGAACGTGAAATCGCTGGAGTGGAACCGGAGAGAGTTGACGTAACCGGGTAACTAAGTTTCCTAATGTCGCTTAATTGTGACTGCAGGTGATGTATGTTGCCTATGGTTGCGCTGACAGCATTGGCTGTGCGTTCTGACCCGTTTGTGTTGCCCACTTCGGTGGTGTCTTACTTACGGTTAAGTTTGTCATGGCTAATGTTTTATCCTGCTTGCAGGGTGTCAGTGTGAAAGTCGACCACCTCTCCGACCCGTCTTGAAACACGGACCGAGGAGTGTAACTTGTACGCGAGTCAAAGGGTGGTTAAACCCTAAGGCGTAATGAAAGTAAAAGGAGCTTCGGTGTAACGCTGAATGAGGATACTACGTTTCGACAGTCAGCGCACCAGTGGCCCCTGTCTTGTCTGCGATGCAGGATGCGGCAAGCGGTAGAGCCGCTAAAGCGTCACGACGCTCTGTAAACCTGGTACAGGTTGCGACCCGAAAGATGGTGAACTATGCCTGAGCAGGACGAAGTCAGAGGAAACTCTGATGGAAGTCCGTATCGGTTCTGACGTGCAAATCGATCGATAGACTTGGGTATAGGGGCGAAAGACTAATCGAACCATCTAGTAGCTGGTTCCCTCCGAAGTTTCCCCCAGGATAGCTGGAGTTCATCGCGGTTATATCCGGTAAAGCGAATGATTAGAGGACTTGGGGTCGAAACGACCTCAACCTATTCTCAAACTTTCAATGGGTATGTTGTCTCGGTTTCTTTATTGCTATACCGAATAACTTCGTATA